ATTTGAAAAGATGTGCTGGGGGTTTGTGATAATGAAATCAAACAATTACGACGATACAAACAAATGGAAAGTAAGTAGATGTGCATAAAACGGAATGCTGCTCTTTAATGTCTAAGCTGGACTCTGAGGAAAGTAAACAGACCTGTCATATACAATCTGAGAGATGGACTGTTCATAACAAAGCAGAACAGAAAAGTATTTGGGCTCTAATCCAACAGTAGAATTGTACGTCTATTCTCTGGCAAACAAGAAGCTAGTGTAAAGATCTGAGAACTGCTTTAATCGGATATAATTATTAATCAGAACAATTCCACCTCCATTCTTGTGCACTCTAGCTCACCCCATAAAACTCAAAACAGTTGTGAGGGGCTGACTCAATAAGAAGTGCTGCACTTTGTCTTGGTTTAATCAAGATTGTGCCTGATGATCAAAGCATTTATTCAAAATGATTTACCTGCCAAAGACATGACGTTTCACAGAGCTACATTTAAAAGCATTCTTTGCCTATTAAAACGTTTGTTGTGCAGACAGACTGTGGCCGGCGAGGATGGTAACATGAATTGACCGTCTGCCCTGGGCATTTTCTCTCCTGTCCACACTCATGCCAGGCAGATTTTCCTGGTGTTGATTTAAATGGCGGTGATTCGAGAAGCGGCAGTGAATTTCCGTACTATTCATTAAGCTCACATCCAGCTTGTTAGATGTATCATTATGAGGGGAAATTAGGGGAGACTGATGAGGCAGACTTTTGGCGACCTCGTGGCCTCGTCAGTCCAGGCAGGAGAGAGCTGTCTTCTCTCTTCGTCGTCTTCGTTATCAGCAGCGTTGGTGTTACTGAATGTGCTGTTTGGTTGGAGTCAGGGAAAGTGACCAAAGGGTGAATTTGAATGCCATCGCCAACCAGCGCTTCCATTCTAACAGAGAGTCCCAAAAGGTGAGAGGGAAGAGTGAAGGGAACAATAATTAGTCCGTGAGCTTGTTATTAACACGCTGATGTTCAGGCAGTGATGTTTAGTCATGGTGGCGATGAGGCAGCTGTGAGTCAGCTTTATCGTCTTAGGCCTGGCTGATGGGATTGCAGGCTGAAACAAAAACAGCCCATCAGTAATGGAAGCAATTCACTTTCACCTCATTGATTGAGCCGAAAATGACTGGAATCTGCTATCTATTAGTTGCAATAACATGCTAATCTGCAATCGTTTCATTCTAACTGTTGAGGAATAAAAACCATCATTTTGAGCTTGCAAAGGGAAATTCTGAAGACGTTTCATAGGTATTCTCAAAATACTTTATTTTTTAGCCTCAAGACACTTAATAAAACTAAATCTTAACTTGACCCGTGCCCTGCATGTGGAGCTGCACTTACAGTACAGAATGAAAAAGATTCTATTCAGCTGCTCTTACCTCAGTGAAGTATTGTTCCTTCCCTGCCTAAGGCTAAATTATAGCTTAGTTAAGTGTCTTCATCACAGTTAAATGATCAGTTTTACCTACGTAAAGAGGCTTTTTTTTGCAATTCTCTAAGAGTTATGTCACATCGTTCCCCAGCTGCATTGACAGCGCTGCTGACAGGTAGAATTACCTCTGCAGTGTTTCTTTTGTTCTGTGTATTCTGGGTATTAAAAGCTTTGCATCAAAGCGAGTACAGAGTCAAGTACAAACGGCTATAATCATCTATAATATTTTATCTATGATTTGATTGATCTGTATTTGTATCTTGGGACATCCTTTACAGATTGGTACTGTAGATCCAAACAGGGAAAGAGCTGTCAGAGAACTCCTTGACATTTAGTGAAATCGGAAACTAACTTTGCTTTAAAGATCAAACCATTTTGATCTTTACAAAAAAAGGAACTGACTTTTTATTATGTTTTCTTTTCTATTATTATGTATTTTTAACATTAAGTGTAGCCTTGGTCATTAAGCAATAATTGTATTTTTAAAAATAAAACATTATTGTGTTTAGCACTTTCAGTTCTTTCTGAAGAAGCTTTAAAACATCCACTGACCAGCAGGCATACGACACGTAAAGTTAACAACTAAGCAAGCTATGGAGCCAGATATTTCCCATTGGAGTTGGTGGGGATCACATTAAAAAGACATTAAATATTGGAGTTACATTTTTCATGTGGACCCCAAGCAATTGTTTGCTAAGACGGTAGTCATTGTTAGCAACTGTATTGGGTGGTTGTTTTCTAGTATTGTGTGTTCAGCTGGTCCGCTGCACCGAAGTGGCCCAAAGATAAGATATTGCTGCTTTGAAGGTACCATGTGTTGTTTTTCAGTTTTAAGATGGAGCTATGGAACATTAAACAAGATATTGTTCTCACGCAAGTTAACAATGCTACTGCTGGGTCAGATACAGTATATACAACGCAGGTTTCAAACATTAAATACAAATCCACTTAATGTTTTATGAAGTGGGAAAGAATTCAACATGTTTGATATACACCCACTCATGTAAGATTTCTAAGTATAAAAAAAGAACAGAGATTGCTTTGCCTGCTTTCATTTTAAATTAAACTGGGATTTGATGAATAGTGCATCTCTCACGTTGTATCTCCTCGGCAGTGACAGGGCCTCACGGTGCTTTCACAGAAAAGGCCTGCATGAATCGCCTGGCCTTCCTCGCTCAGGACTCCTGTTCCTCGAATCCGCTGTTGTGCTATCCAGCAATTGTCCTTTTTCAACAACATTCAAGGCCACATTAACATGAATCTATGAATGTTTAATTGTGTTTTTTTATTTACAGGCTGCTCTCTCTCGACCAGTTTACCACTATGTGTCCTTTGATCTGAGACAATGTTGTTGGCGAAAGCGTGCAGGAATATTTTATAGGAAATGCAGGCCATGGTACCGCAGCCATAGAGTGCTGTGTCAATGCATCCGACGCTCGGTTTGGTTATATCCTTAATTAATCAGTGATTTCCCTTATGTTTTAAAATTGCAAATTGGATATGTTAAACCTTTGAGCTATTCTTTACACTGACTGCATAGTTAGACTGTGAAACGCTCTTTATGGCTGTAAGCTAATTATGTGTGTGTGTGTGTGTGTGTGTGTGTGTGTGTGTGTGTGTGTGTGTGTGTGTGTGTGTGTGTGTGTGTGTGTCCCCGATGCAAAAAATAGATTTAAGAGAACCATACTGTGCGTGCATTGTTTTGACATTTCAATAACACATCCCTATTCTTTGTACTTTGTCCATTTATCCATTATTCATGGGGGTATTTAACTCATTCAACATTCTGATTGGCCTTGTTCCGCTATTTGGGAATGACGTTTTTCTTTGTGTGCGAGCATAATGTGCTAATGTGATGTTTGTGTTTCTACGTTAATTTATTTTGATTTTGTGAAAGATTTTTTTAGGCTTGTGTGGGCTCCATAGCTCCGGAGATACAAATGTATTTTCATCACATATTCAAATATGAGATCACAGCGGTGTTGCCGAACATCGGGCCAAACAATGAAAAGCAACGTTTGCTCAAGTCAAAATAATGTCATGCCCACACACTTGGTTGATCTTGAAGCATATTAGGTATTCATATCGTTGTGTTTTATCATAATTCGGTTAGCCTCGCTGATGCATGTCTAAAACAATCCGATGTTGTGAGCATTTTTCTGAGCTACATATTGCATCCCTCCGATTCTATTCTATTCTATATTCTGAATCAGGATGACTTTTTTCAGTTTTGTTGTACCTCAGAGCAGCTCACATCAGGAACTGAGAATGAATAATAACACAGTTTTTCATCACACAGAGAAAATGCTCTCCTCTGTAATTAGCAGAAGAACGCTGATGAATGCTGATGAGCACCTTGAATTTGAATTGTATCAAACAAAGCATTTACGCATTGAGTGAACAGGAGCACTTAAAGGTAGTTGGCTCAGAGGCCTATTTACTTTTATTGATGAAGTGGTTTTAACTTGACTGTTGAAAATAGACGGTTTGTTGGCACACCGAGTATGAACCAACACATTAAAATAAAGCAGAGAAAATGTAAAAAAAAAAAAAAAGGAGGTTTCAATGAGAAACAAGGTGAAAGGATGCTGTCCTTGCACAATATTCTTAAAGGTTGATGTTGCATAGAATGTGTTTTTACAAAGAGCCAAATGGCTAAAAGATTAAAATATTGCTCTAGTCCACGTTTCATGGAAGATAAAATAAGAGGAATGGAACCATTGCACATATTGGGGGCAGTTCATCCTGCTTTTGTTAACTTGAAGGTGCTGTTTTTATGTGGCGGGTTCGGATTATTTCTGTACACCTTTCTCTTGGGAAAACATTAAAGCGTTGGCAGTAAGAGCAACATAAATCACTGTAGAGTTTTTGTCTTTCTGTTCAATGAACTCCGAAACATTTATTCATAATATACATTTGTGGTTGAACTGACCTCAGTGTTGGGAGCTGCATGCTGGAGATTAGTCCCTGCTGCTGAGCTTTTCTCCAAAAAAAAAAAGCATTTATACTGTGATCGTTGAGTTTTATTGAATACATTTGTCTTTTTATGAAAATAATAAATAAACCACTTGGGGTGGAGAACAACACCTGTAACCATGGTAACTGAGCATTTATAATATATTAACAAGTCTCAAATGATATAAAAGACAATAGGCACTTGTGTTTTATAGAAAATACAATTGGCAAAATTAGTTAGATTTCACTGAGAAAACTTGAATTGCACTTGTGTTTAATTTACTATCATAAGGCTAAAACTATGGACAAATGTTAAAAGACAAAGGCTAACATTTTATGAAATAGCAAATAATTATTTTATCAAAAAAAGACAAGCATTGAGCAAGGACATTTGCCTCACTTCCCTTTATAATACAAACACAGTAGGTTACAAAACAGAACAATCAAACCACCATGAGGGTGAAAATGAGTTGAAAGTGTGGTGGAGAGCACATGTGGAGCGTTTCTCCTCTGCTGCACAAACCTTCACATGCATGCACACAGCAGCCTCTCATTGCATGAGGCTGTGTGGCTCAGCAGCAGCAGCAGACAAACAGAGGGGGGGCGAAGGACGGCGCGAGTTAGCACGGAGAGAGACAGGCGCTCTCATCAGTGACGGACTCACCGGCTGTGTGGACAGAGCTGTGTCGCAGGAGGAGGAGGAGGAGAAGTGCAACGGGAGGTACAAGCCGCCGGAAAAATCCGAGCAAAAAAATTGAGGAGCAAACCGCGAGAGACCTGGAGGGAGGAATGAGAGATCAGTGAGGGGAGAGAAGTCATTCGGAGCGGGGAGAGGGAGGATTGAGCTGACAAGGACACAGAGGGAGGAAAGTGCACAAAGAACCCTTCCCCGACAACGGGGGAAAAGCGAAGGAGTGCGTTCGGAAAGTGAAAAAGAAGAAGGAGAGGAGGTGGATGAGAAAGAAAGGAGACTGACAGGAGTTGAGCTCACGGGGCTTGACTGACACAAGAGCGAGGCGGAGGAGGAGGAGCGTGCGGGCAAGTTGATGAATTTGATATGGGGAGAGTATTTTTAGAAGGAGGAGCAGAGACATGAGAGGAATATTGAGATTACAGATGCTGTGTTTGAGTGGGGGGGAACAAACTAGGGTGGAAGAAGAAGAAGACAAATTGTAAAAGGGGGAGAGATGTTGAGATCAGAGTGTGACAGAACTGATTATCGGTGCTCGGGTTCCCCGCAGGAAACAGCTGTGAGTGTATGTCCGTGTGTGTGCGCATGAGTGCATCGTCTCCATGTGAAAGAGTGTTGTAGCATGTTTCTTACTGTGACTGGCGCTGGGAAGCAGGTCCGCTACAAGATGAAGCTCCCTGGGGCTCCCTGCAGGGCATCATAACACTGGTTAAAGCCAAGTGGGAGGAGAGACTGGGGACACACCGGTGACATCAAGAAGAACTCAAGGCACGAAAAGTGAGACTGCAAAGTGGGACAGAAAACAAATGAGCGTTGAAGACTTTTGTGAATTTAATTAAAGCTTGTATTTAATAGAGACAAGGAACTGGTTGCTGTCTCTGGCTCGCTATTGGGAAGTCAGTAAAGCAAAAAAGGAACACATGTAACTCAGAAGAAGAGAAACCACAGCGCTGGAACAAGGCAAGCTCTCCTTACAGACAGCACCACACTGACAATTCCCTCCGCTGTCCTCTCATTATTTTAATTACCTTCTTTTCTTTCATTAGTTTTGTTTGTGTCCTCTCTGCTTAGCCCTTGGTATTTTGTATTCTGTCCTCCTCTCCCCATTTCTCTTCCCCTCCCTCTTCCTCTTGCCTTCGCTCTCTCTGTCTCTTCCTCTCTTGTTCACTGTCACACTAACTGCAGCGGATGTTGGAGTCACTCATGTAGAAGCCACCTTGCTTGGAGCACATTTGCCCAGCGGATTTTTGTTGGATGATTAGAGCACTCTTAGATTGAGAGACCGGGAGAGATGACCAACAAGTAGCCTGGCTGCTGCTGAGCTCCACTAGAAGAGGAAGGACGACTTCAAAACCCACTGATTTCCTTGGGGGTACTCGTGGGTATTACGTTTCCATATATTGTAATCTTTCAGTTAAGACTGCATGGACCATTAGTATTCAAAAAGCCAAACAAAAATCCTGGTGTGGATTACAGTAGTGGATTTGTCCTGGAGCTACATGTGGGCTCCAGCGCTCGAGGCCTGGCTGGGAAATGAAGCCTTTCCCGCGGCTGTAGGAGCGCTGTGTGCAGCTATGGCCCTGGAAGGGCACTGTCTCCGGAGGGGATCCCCAGCGATCATCAGGAAGGGTCGTCAGCAGCGTCCTGCCAAGCCAACTCTGGCTGGAATCACTTCCACCCTGCTATCAAGGACACGCCTGCACGGCCTCAGGCATGTTTGCCTCCCTGGTGGCTCTGTGGGCCGCAGGGCCTTCTGGCTGCTGGCCCTCTGCACCTCACTGGGGCTGCTTTTATCCTGGTCCTCTAACCGCGTACTGCACTGGCTCTCCTTCCCCACACACACTAGGATCCACACAGAGTGGGCCAAAGAGCTGGCCTTCCCCACGGTCACTATCTGCAACAACAACCCTATCCGCCTCTACAAGCTCACCAAGAGCGATCTGTATTTCGCTGGCCACTGGCTGGGCCTGCTACTAGCTAACCGCACAGTGAGGCCCCTGGTTCTGGACTTACTTCAAGAGGACAGTCAGCCCTGGTTCCGGAAGCTTTCAGACTTCAAACTCTTTCTGCCCCCAAGAAACTTTGAAGGGACCAACCTGGAGTTTATGGACAGACTGAGCCACCAACTGGATGAAATGCTCCTCTCATGCAAATACAAGGGAGAGATATGCGGCGCACACAACTTCACTTCTGTAAGTCCACTTTTCTGTTTTCTTAAAGCTTTTTGCCAGCTTTGTCTCTTATCTCCTTCTATGTTGTCTTAACTGTCAATTAGCCCAGTTTAACATCAACTGCTGTGTAAAAGTTGCAAATGCATTACATCATGCTGAAACAACACATTGCTTCATTTCATTATCATGTGGGTGGGTGTTCTCTTGTTTTGGACACTGCATTAATGGCTAAGTTATAAGGCTGTAAAAGCACAATATACAAGCTGTTGTAACTTCATGTTATAGCTGACTGCTGGGGCTTTCTTGGTCATCACATAAAAAGATTAGCAAATGTTTTACTGCATGGTGCAATTATTGAATCACCACCAGAGCTTTTGGTACGTTTACGGTTGTTCAACAAAAAATGCATTGAGCTTTCGCAACGTAGAAGAAAACATGAAAAACTGTTAGCATTGGTTTTATAAAAAAGGATGAAATGGGTCATATTTGAGCTTGTGCATTGAATAGCTACTAGTGCAAAACCACAATATCAAACAGTTTGTTTTGCAGTGCTGTGCAGCCCCCCAGGACTTCCCTGATATGTCTCATATCTGTCTTCCTTTCTGTGTGGGTGCTGGTGGGTTCAGGGATTTTTGTGCCTGCTGTTTCTTATACACTCCCATGGCTCGACTGAACCATGGCAGATGTGTTCTCTGCAGTATTTCAGAAGCTCAAACTGTGTTTGAAACATTTCCTTCTGTGGTCCTTCTTTCTATCTTTGTAATGTATTATCAAAGTCAGTGACTGACAGGAAAGTGACATGGCAGATCAATAGCTGTGTGCAAGCTGTGCATGTTTTGCCAAATGGATGATCTAGTGTGTCGTACGGTTGGGAAGATGTTTTTCCATTTGTTTGTTTTGTGTCTGTTTGTAGTATGTTGAGCTCTTAAGGTCACGGTAGAACTCTGGCTCTTGTAACATAATAGTTGAAAGTCCTGCTGCCGTTACTACAGTAAAAGTAGCCACAGATGTCTCCAAATGTTCCTGAATGGTGATCTAAAGAATAACACAGTGTATACTCTGTAACAAATTCACAAAATAGATTGCATAACAACTGTTCATTATGTGCAGCCCCTCTCAGCTCGATTGTGTAAAGATATGATCTAATGATATTACAGGGCAAACACTGCCTTAAAGTTTTGGAACTGAGTGCGATTTGCCTTTTTGCAGATGGAAAGGACCGAAATAATGTTTCATTTGTTTATAGAATAACCTAATCTAACTAATTTTGTTCTTGTGCATTTTTCAAATGTGGGGGAGCCTTTTTCATTTATTTTACATGACACATTTGTTATTGCATCCTGTCACTGCATCCAAAAATAAATGAGTTTGGGTGGAGCATGACGATACTTGGCTACAATCACTGCTGCCATGATCAATGGAAAGCCTATGACCCTTGTAAATGAGCAAATTCACAGAGAGATATGAGGAAAAGTCAGTTTTCATCACTCACATTATTGTTTTCATAATTTATAATGAAAAAGATAGGTCAACATTTGTGGCATTGTCAACATTCCAATTAAGAGAAACACATCTAACTTCTCGAATGTCAAGCATTCACCCATGTCATGCAGTGGACCCCCAACGTTGAAAACACAATTGCTATATGAAGGCAGTATGATAGCAATCAGCACTTAACCAAGCATGAAAATATTCCCTTCCTTTCTCTAAATGCAGTTTATAAAATCACACGCTCATGCATTGTATTAGTCTTGTACAGGCTCAGGGTCAGCAGTAACGTGATTTGATCAAATGTAATGTTTTTAACTTTTTCCTGCTCTGGTGGGTGGAGCTGCTCTTTTTGTCCACTTTGTCCTGTCTGTTTGCCCTCTATCAGAAACAGACATAATGCCTCAGCCCACTGCCATACAAATGAAGTGCTTAATCAAAAGCTTGCCCTCAAGCCAGTATCCATTAACAATGTTTCAAAGCGACCACATCCGTTTTACTGCACAAAGAAATGTTCCTTCTTTGTTGAATTCAAATGCCAGTGTAGCATTAGAGATGTTGTGTAAGTATGTGTATGTTCCTACTCTGTTTGTTGATGTGCTGGCAATGCTCACAGGTCAGTATTTATGTCAAGGTAATGCTTTTGCAGGATGTGTATTCACTAGAATGAGCGACTGCCATTATGCAGACTGTGATGTGAGATAAATTCAGCCTATGAGCCGTTTGTTTCAATTTGAGTGTAGAAGAAGTTCACCCAAGCTGAATTGGCATTTAATGTGTCTGAACATTGTGTAAGTATGGATCAGGCTGCTGCTGATGGAGAGGAAAATGTGCTTTGAGAAGAGATGGTGTGCAAATGTGAAAAAAGCAATCTTTAGATTCAAGATTCAATATGTACAATAACTCTATGAGTAAATCCAAAGGGGGTGAGACCATGAAGGAATGAGTTACAAACACATCAACAGTGTCTTACTTATGTTGACCCCAATATCACTGAGACCAGTAATGATCTATATAACCCCTAGATTCCACCGTCTCCGTCTGCGTCGCGTCACGGCTGCGCCGCGGTTTTGGTCCGGCCTCCTCCGGCGTCATACCCTACCGGGCGCGTTTCAGAAGCATTTCAGAAGTGGAGCGTCTTGCGTGCCGGCTCGCAGTTTTTGTTGATTTGGGCATATTTCCTGGACAGGCTACTTTGTACAGACAAAGTTAATAATAACTGTAATATTCCAGTTATAAACGACATGAATCAAAGATGTGTTGCTGTATTTTAGTGGTAAAAAAATGCATTCATCATCATAATTATTCTATATATATAATTTACACAGTGCCTGTAAACCGGAGGAGAACGCTGGCATTTCTCCTCCTACTTGAAAGACTACGGAGGGATAGGGTCTGCAAAATTTGTTTGTGTGTGTGTATATATATATATATATATATATATGCTATATATGCTCTGAACGTTCCACTTCCTGCCTGCCCGACATTACGTTACGGCTGCGTCGCGTCAAAAATAGGATTCATCCTAATTTTAGAGGAGCCCTGCGCCGAGACGCTTCTGGGACGCTTCTGGGACGCTTCTGGGACGCTTCTGGGACCCTTCTGGGACGCTTCTGAGCCGTAACGCGCCGCGTGTGGTGGAATAGCACCCATTGACTAGAGTGGCCGCGATCGCCGTGAGCGCCGCGGCGCAGCCGTAACGCGCCCGTAACGCGCCCGTAACGCGCCCGTAACGCGCCCGTAACGTGCCCGTAACGCCCGTAACGCGCCCGTTACGCGCTGCAGACGGACCCGGTGGAATCTAGGGGTAAGAATGAACACGTTTAAAGTGTGTTTCTGTAGTGACATGTGGGTAGTTAAATGGACAGTGTTACCCCTAGATTCCACCGGGTCCGTCTGCGGCGCGTTACGGCCGCATTACGGCTGCGCCGCAGCGCTCACGGCGATCGCGGCCACTCTAGTCAATGGGTGCTATTCCACCACACGCGGCGCGTTACGGCTCAGAAGCGTCCCAGAAGCGTCTCGGCGCAGGGCTCCTCTAAAATTAGGATGAATCCTATTTTTGACGCGACGCAGCCGTAACGTAATGTCGGGCAGGCAGGAAGTGGAACGTTCAGAGCATATATAACATATATATATATTATATATATATATACACACACACAAACTAATTTTGCCGACCCTATCCCTCCGTAGTCTTTCAAGTAGGAGGAGAAATGCCAGCGTTCTCCTCCGGTTTACAGGCACTGTGTAAATTATATATATAGAATAATTATGATGATGAATGCATTTGTTTACCACTAAAATACAGCAACACATCTTTGATTCATGTCGTTTATAACTGGAATATTACAGTTATTATTAACTTTGTCTGTACAAAGTAGCCTGTCCAGGAAATATGCCCAAATCAACAAAAACTGCGAGCCGGCACGCAAGACGCTCCGCTTCTGAAATGCTTCTGAAACGCGCCTGGTAGGGTATGACGCCGGAGGAGGCCGGACCAAAACCGCAACGCGGCGCAGACGGACCCGGTGGAATCTAGGGGTGAGGTCAGCTTTACTTGGCAGATCCGCGCCACATTGACGCAACAGTTCTGCTTGCTTCCTCATCTTGCTCTACCTCATAGAGGGGGGCCTTATACTGTTAACGGGCCCTCGGTGGTTTTGCTAATCTCATTAGCCTGCTGCTGCAAGTCAGCAAAGACTCCCCGAGGCCTATTCATTATCACTGCATTTAGAGCACTGCCACTCTTAGACCAGAAAAGATGCTACAACAAGATTAAACAAGGGATAGGGAGCACACACACACAGACTTGGGAGTAAATCATCACAGGAATCCTTGTGTAACCTGCATGCACGATTGTTTGGAGGATCGGTGAGATTTGATGGAGGCTGGTTATTACAGGATTAAGAGTACTGAGGAAGCTTTGAACTGCCGAGCAGCAGGAGGTGTGGAGGGAGTAGAAAGGTACAGCTAAAGGTTAAGAATGAAAGAAAAAGCATCTGGTTGGGAATACAAATGTGTCCCATATATCTGGCACCACCTCTTGCAGCAGGGGTACACCATTTGCTGAATCTAGGTTAATGTGGACTTGTAGAAGGCTGGCTAATCAATAAATCTATTAGCGTCATGCTGTAGTTTATGTTGGTCTATTTTTTACTCCAATACTGATGTTCTCAGCCACCCCACAGCAAGTCCCGATCTAACAGCCGGGGATAACAGCGCTGGAGTGAGGCGCACAGGGCCAGGAAAACCATTCACAATCAAATGTAAGTGATACCTTATCAAACCACAGCTAGCTCAGCCTCCCCCGTGGGACAGATACACATCTCGCTCTCTCACAGCTCTATCGAGGTAAAGATAACTGTGCCTGAAATGACAAATTAAACAATGCTCAGATTTGGAGAGCAGCACCTAATCACACTGCTCTGCAGGGTGTGAAAAGGGTGAACCTCTCTGCCTGGCCAAGGTAATTTATCAACTCTATCCCGAGAGAAATCTCACCACCGCATAACCAGAGCAATGATCCACTG